ACTCAACAGTATTCTCATTATCCCCACCTATTAAAAGACTTAATTCTCGCAATACTCTCATCTGTGGTATGAGTTTCAGTACACGAATCCATTCTTCCGGTGAATTGAAATATACTAAAACAAAACTAAAGTCTAAATACTTTAAGCGATTCTTATAGTAATCAATAAATGCTGTCAATCGCTGCCAATCAGAGTCTATGTAATCGTATTGAAATTTTGTCAAATTCTTGACTAATATCTCATTGTTTTCGGTGACAATCACTGACAACACCGTCTCTTCGTTGCTTTCATCAGACAGTTGCGTGAGTTTTATCAAAGACTTTGCGTCAGATCTTAACGCTTCATACCCCCAGTAAGGCACTGATATTGTGGTTAATTGTGAGCCATATTTGCCGAAAATTGTGTCCAGAATAGGTCTCATTAGATCCGAATCAATGATGTCGTTAAACGTGACATTAATTGCAATCAATGAGTGTTTGTATGAATACACGAGTCTTTCAAACACTCTTCTGGTCTCTTCCAACTCCATCTCAATATCAATGGCTGTAATGTTGGGACACTTTGTGACCACCGATTCCAATGCTTCCCAATGGATGCGGGTGGGGTCATAGGCGCCATCCATACGCCAATCTATGATATCTATGAATTCATTTGCATTTAGACTACGTTGTGGTTTGAATACCAATCGCTGCCACTGTTTAGACAGACATTCATATCGGAAACAGTCTGTGAATGTGAGATAAGACAATAGGAGTCCACACAAGTCATCACCGAATCTCTCGAACGAGTCCTTCGGATACTTCTCTTGAATGACATTCATATCACTCGACAACATCTTTGCCTTAAATACACATAATTTGTGATTAAATATATCTATAGTATTACACAATATTTAAGGGGTTTAGGGTAGAGTTAATATGTTAATCACTAAAAACAAACCTGGTTCTATTATATTTCATGTAATACTTTGGTTAACTGCTATTTATATGACATACAATCACTTGAATGTTAAGTAGTATTGAATATTCTCTATAATGACTACAATTACTAATTTACTACAAGAATAATGTACTGTATTATATACTTAACTCACAAGTGTATTTTGATTGAACAAACTTATTTTAAAATAAATATACTTTATAAATTATAATAAAAACACATTTCATCAACGTTTACATATTATGGAGGGTTTGTAATTGAAACGCATGTCTGTATTGGTAGTCAATAGGAGATAACATTATTGTTATACAATATTAGTTATATATAAGTTCATTGATAAAACATTTTAGTCTCGAAGTTGACATTCATTTGTTTGTCAGACAATATGATAGCTACAGGTATACTCACTGTCAGTGAGATGTCTATTGAATAACATTAGAAACTTATTTGTTGTCAAACTTTTACCTAATTAATTAATTGTATCATACCCTGTTAATTTAATTATATTTTAATTGACAAATAGTATTACACTAAATACAGCATTAAGTAGTGTCAATAATAAGCATATGATTTAATAATTGTGTGACAAATGATTAGTTTGCGAAACATATGCCACGAAAAGGTTTGCTTATTGTCTCAAACCAATGGTTAGTTTGTAAAAAGTGAAAATATCTTTTAAATGAAAGCATTTAAGTTTGTGGTCGTATAGGCATTACAAGTGATATGTCTGTCAGTGAGAAGTTTATTGAAAAACTTTTTTTGTGTGCAAATTAATTTATTTTATTATATCCTGGTAATTTAATTTAATTATTTTTTATTTAATAATTAGTATGACATTAAACATAACATTAAATAGTTGAAAATATTAGCATATCATACTGTATAGCTATTGTATGTGAAAATGTTCAGTTTGTAAAACTTTTGTCACAAAAAGTTTGTTCATTATCTCAAAATGTATTCATTGTTTGGAACTTATGTTAAAACGTTTTAATAATCTGTAGAATAGCCGTCGGAATCACTCAAATGAGTGTCATTCCCGTCAGTGGACTCATAGAGTGTCAAATTCAAAACATTTAAGTTTCGGTAACTTTCTAACCATCGCCTCAATAGCCGGTGTTTTCACTAATTTGCTGCAAATCCTCGGAGTCTGATATTGCGGTCATACCATACCATTGAGTGTCAGATAACGTGACTGGCCTTCAATATATCGACGGTATATTAAATTCAAACGTTACTAAAATAGTATGGCTAGTGTTTAATTAGGATTATTATTGGAAATTAATTTCTAATAACGTAAATTGGCAACAAATACAAGAATAAGTGTTTAACTCATATTTTGATTAAGCAGTCAAAACATTTAGCTGGTAACGAATGCTTATGGATTCAATTTAATCATTATAAGTTGATTTTACTTTAAACTATACCTTTACTCGTTAGTTACTCGTAGCAAATGTTTACTCAAAATATTAGTTATTTAACTTCCGAATTAGTTTATTAGAAGCTAATTTCCAATAATAAGATCCTAACTAAACACTAGCCATACTACATGTATATTAGTAACGCTTTAATATACCGTCAATATATTGATGGCCAGTCACGCTACCAAACTGACGGTATGTATGCCTCACACTCTGAATGTGTGGTAAATGTGTGTGAATTGAGTCAAAGAATGTCTCATTTAATACACAAAAGTGTAAATCTAACTCCAAATGTGTTAATCGTTTCAATGGAGACAATGATTTGGGCGACAATTCAATGGCTAATCGACCCTTGGGACGATATTTACTCAGTATTAACTCCAGTCGTCGTAAGCTTTGCATACGACCCACCGATTCATACAATCTTTCCAATTGTGGACCACTTTGACAACAAAAACCCAATCGATATCTCTTTAGATGCGGCCATTGATTGACAAATTCTGTGCAGTGATAATCAACTATAGACTCAAAAGTATCCTCATCATCCCCATAAATATCAAGATTTAATTCTCGCAATGCTCTCAATTGTGGTATGAGCTTCAGTACACGAATAAATGCATCCGTCTCAAGGGAAGACATAACAAGTTTTAAAGACTTTAAGCGATCCTTATAGTAATCAACAAATGGTGGCAATCGTCGCTCTCTAGAATCGCTGTAAGAAAAGTGAATTTCTGTTAAATTCTTCACTAATATCTCATTGTTTTCGGTGACAATTGCTGACAACACACTCTTCACGCGAATAACGATTATTCTGAGTATAGCGATTTGTGTGAGTTTTGTCAACGACTTTGCGTGAGATCTCAACGTTTCATAACCCGATGGTAGGACTGATATTGCAGTCAATTGTGGGCCATATTTGCTGAGAATTGTGTCCATTATTTTGACATCAATTTATAGCCAAATCTGACATGAATTGCAATCAATGAGTGTTTGTATGAATCCATTAGTCTTTCAAACACTCTTTGTGTCTCTTCTGAATAGATGTGAATATCAATGGATGTAATGTTTGCACACTTTGTGACCACCGATTCCAATGCAATCAAATCGATTGCTTTGAAGGCTTTCTCTGCATATATCTCTCTATTATCTATGGATTCGTTAACAACAATAAGACTGTCTTGTCGTTTGAATATCAATCTCTGCCACTGTTTGGACAGACATTCAAATCGGAGACAGTCTTTGAGTGATAAATAAGACAATAGGAGTCCACACAAGTCATCGCCATATCTATCAAACGAGTCTTTCGAATATTCCTCTTGAGTCTCATTCTTGTCATTCTTCGACATACTTGGGATCTGTTTATTAATACCTTGATGAAATACTATTATTAATGATATACTGTATAACATAAATAGTTACTGCAATTATAAATATTGACTATACAAATTATATTGAACAAACCTGATCAATAAATAAATAGATTTAGGAAATAAATGTACTTGTATCAATGTGAACACATTTAATGAATTTTGTTTAACAAAATATGGAGGGTGATTAAAATAAATATTTTGGTAATCAGAGTAGAAATGATTACGTGTAAATGAAATAGGTACTGTATAAACTTAATTACCGTTATATAAGGTCGGTTGCATTAAAAATGCGAAAAACAAAATGCTGTTTAAAAGCAAACTATTAATTCAATTTAAATGAAATTTTCACAATAAGTAGAGTATTTATTATAGATTTAATCAACATAATAGTTTGTACTAAATTTGGCATCCATTGGCCAGAAACAATTTATCAATACTCCGCGGCATTGAATCCAAAAAATAAGTCCAGAAATCTGAAAATCCGGAATGTTTTAAGTGTCTTAAAATGGTCAACCGATGTTCCCTACGGGCACCTCTTTGACCAATCATTTCACCGATTCTGACCAACAAGTATTTCGGGTAATTATGTACCAGATTTGAGATCCGATTTCCGATCACTTTTATTAAATTCTGATGGTTTACCACTTCCCGGGCGCCGGGAGACACCATCACCTGATTTGATCCGTTTGATTATGCGGCAAACTTGAGATAAACATAGTTCTGACAATTTTGTCAACTTTGATCACTTTTATTAAATTCTGATGGTTTACCACTTCCCTGGCTCCGGGAGACACCATCACCTGATTTGATCCGTTTGATTATGCGGCAAACTTGAGATAAACATAGTTCTGACAATTTTGTCAACTTTTTTGGGACATTAACACCCCATTCATATAAGATCTGAACATTGGTCTTGCGGTCAGCCGATGAAAACATTGTAAACACACATTCGTTGACATAAACTTAATATAAATAATTTTTTCTTTCAGTTTTCATATACTATGTGAGAGTATATAATCTAAGCTTTAAAATGATGTATAATTTGTTACAGTTTTTGTTTAGGATTTTTATAAAAATTATTTTGAAAAAAATTTGTTTTTCGCATTTTTTTGCAACCGACCTTACTATACTACATTACTATATATTATGATTTAAAAACCTGAAAAAATATTTCAGCAAACCTTCATTTAAAGTACAGTTAACATACACCGCAATATTATTGGGAAAGTCTATAACACCACCAAAATTAAACTCAATTATATTGTCATAGTATATGTCATCGTCGGACTCCGGGACCCGTTTGACACCCTGTGCCCAACATTTCAAAAGTACACTCAAATCACTGGTCACTCTAATCGACGTATAATTGAATCTCTCTATCGATATGTTGTACTTATTTTCAGGTCCTTTACACTCAATCCATTCACCCGTCATATTCTCATACAGGGGTAGCACCTGGTCGTCAATCATCGGCCACCGGACTATACGACACCTACTGATGCTCACGAGGTATGCGTCAGAATTTATGGCATTATATTTACTCATATTATTATTATTTATTACATTTTTGTGATTATTATTGAATTTGTTGTTAAATTTTGTATTCACTGTAGAATTATGAGTGAATTTTTTTACAATTTTATGATGTGGGTGATTAATTACAGTTTTATAAACACGTGCTAAACTAATTTTTAATTTATGTTTGCGATTCACATTCACGACATAATAGTCGTATATTAATAAAATAATAACTATACACACGACAAGTAAAATAATTTTTCTGCTCATTTTTCACAATATAATAAACTATCACAATTTTTTAAAATGAATATATAGTACAGTTTAATATTTTTACTAAATTTATCTACATTTCTAAACGGTTTTATTCGTAAAACTAAAATTATTATGTTAGTAAAAATTTTTTTTTGCAATACACTAAGTAACTTTCTTGTCATAAGTATAATACAATATACAATATCATTACCGTATGTAACATTACGGTCAATAGTGCATAAGCTATAATTATTATTTAATTTTTTGTTTGTCATGAGATATTCAATGTGTTACATATAAAAAAATTTAGTTTAATAATTTATTACCAAATAGTGACCTCAACATTTATCACTATTTTTATTTTGCCTAATGTTCAGTGTTTTGCCATTTCACCGTATTTCATAATTTAATAATATAATTGTTTAGCAACTTTGTATTCATTGACATGTATTTTTAATACTCTAGTTAACTTTATCAAAAAATATATATTTATAAAGGTAAAATAAGTATTTCATTAAATGATTTTAGCTGTATTTTAATAACTATTTATTATTAAAATTATTTTCGTAACTTGATTTTAAATAATAATAAATTATATCAAAAAATCAAACCTTCATATAGAGTACAATTGACTTTAACTGCGATATCGTTTGGAAAGTACTGTATTTGCGATGAATTAAACACCACTTCATTAATATAGTCGACGCTTACGTCGGACTTCTCAACCATTTTCACACTTTTTGCCCAACAATTCAACACTTTATTCAAATCACTCGTGACTTTAATTCCCGTAAAATTGTATCTCTCTATCGATATGTTGTACTTATTTTCAGGTCCTTTACACTCAATCTGTTTGCCCGATATATTCACATACAGGGGCAGCACCTGGTCATCAATCATAGGCCACCGGACTATATGACAAGTATTTGTGTTCACCAGATATGCGCCATAATTATCACTAATATTTGTGTCATTTAATTGATTATTAATAATTAAATTCTGGAAATTATTCTTGAATTCTGTGTTAAATTCTTTAGTATTTTGTGTTGAAATAAGTTTAAAATTCTTGACACCATTTACACCGTAAGAATAGCCAGAATTAGTATTATTAATAAAATTATTTTTAAATTCTTTTACATTTCTTAATAAGTTTTTGTTGAGGTTAGAGATTGTGAAATCAAAATTTAAAACCAATGCCACAATCACTATCAACATTATGAACATGATCATTTTATTATGCATTATTAATTGAGTAAATTTTATTAAACTAATTAATAATTTCAGTAAAAATTATATGATTTAAAAATTATTTTATAGCATATATTAATTTTTTCTAATCATTACCACTTTAAGCATAGAACATAACTAACCTAGTTTAATAAATAAGATCATTTAATATTAACTCATTTAGTGCAAAAGGTACTTTATACTTATTTTTGAAATAATTTATTGCAAAATCAAGTCACATGAATTGAGTGCCAATATTACAATTGGTTTGATAAACATATTTACACATATAATTGAAACGTGTATCGTACTTTAGCACCTTGGTCATGTTCCATTAAAACAGGATATTTGTTTAATTAGTTTATATATTAAGATATTAAAATAATTATTATTTACTATACTCCTGATTTACTAGATAATAGTAGTATAATAATATTGTTTATAATCAATATGTCAATAACTACTGTATAAGTGAAATGAATAACAAAAATATAATCAATTTTCAGTACTTTTAATAAAAATGCAATGAATTCTATGGAAAAACTTATGGTCTTTTATAATCGCATTTTGAACTGAAATTGATTATAATATTGTCACGACCTAGGTCATGAAATGACACACTTTGTATTGCTATAAGATTTAGAAATTAATGAAATTATTACACATTTCTATTACAAATAATATACATTAAAAACTAATAATACAAATGTTACTAATAATAAGTTTATTATGTTATAAGAAGTAAATAACACTTATGATCTAAAATTCATCTAGTTTATAACGTAATTACTCAGCTCATAGACACGGATTGTGGTCATAGTACAAAATGATTAGCTAGGAAAACTAATAAATACTCACAAGTCAAATAAAACTGTATTACAGTGATTGTTGGCAATTATGATAAAAATAAATAATTTTATGTAATTATCGATTCCCTAATATTGTTAAATAGTTATACAATAATAAACTTTATTACTAACAACTCTCTCTCTCTCTCTCTCTCTCTCTCTCTCTCTCTCTCATAAATAAATAAATAGTTAATAAGAAAAGCAATATTACTTGAATTTCTTATACTTTTACAATATCATTAACACTACAGTTTCATAACTAAAACTAAATATTTAACATTACTATTTAGTTTAAGAATCAATAAATTGAAAATATATTTCACCAAACCTTCGTTTAAAGTACAGTTAACATACACCGCAATATTATTGGGAAAGTCTATAACACCACCAAAATTAAACTCAATTATATTGTCATAGTATATATCATTGTCGGACTCCGGGACCCGTTTGACACCCTGTGCCCAACACTTCAAAAGTTCACTCAAATCACTGGTCACTCTAATCGACGTATAATTGTATCTCTCTATCGATATGTTGTACTTATTTTCAGGTCCTTTACACTCAATCCATTCACCCGTCATATTCTCATACAGGAGTAGCACCTGGTCATCAATCATCGGCCACCAGACTATACGACACCTACTGGTGCTCACGAGGTATGCGCCAGAATTTATGGCATTATATTCACTCATATTATTATTATTTATTAATTTTTTATCATTACTATTAGATATTCTGTTAAAT